ACTGTTAAACTGTGGTCTACTCTTGTAGGACACCCTTTTATCGATCTGGAAAACTCTGGTCCACTCCTGTAGGACACTCTTGTTGGACACACTTTGTGGAAAACTCTGGTCCACTCTTGTAGGACACTCTTGTCACACACCCTTGACATTCTTGTGGAAACAGAGGTGGCTGCCTGACTGTTTGACATGGTGTTTGCACTTGCAAGCAGTTGGATGAGAGTTGCACCATGCACCATGCACTGCGTGAACCTTGGGCTTAGTGTCTCTTGTTGTTTGCAAGCGGCCTACGCTTGAGATGCCGAACGCTTCTCTTTAAAGGCATTCACTTGCTTGGACGTCATGATCGATAAATGCTTCCATGTTGGCGCAGGTCCTGACTCCAAGCAAGGATTTGAATCTTGCTCACTGGGCCAGCTGACCCAGGGCTCTGAGAGGATGTGCTGTAAGGCTTCTAGATGCCTGCCTGCTACCTGTTCTCCGATTGGTGCAGTATCTTGTAGCACCGGAGGTCATAGATCTTCGATCAAGCGACACACTGTGTTAGACAGTGTGATGTGAGACTTCTTCACTTGGGTCTCATGCTGTAGTATATCCTCCGCGAGTTTGAGAACCCTGCATCTGTGAGGATTCATAGCTGCTGCCGCGATTCTTTTTGGCGATGGGAGATGCCGGATCCATGGATTTGATCTCCTGGCTGTGGCTGTCCCGCAATGGACCCTGTTGCTAGCCACAGCTAGCATAGCGGCCGTAGGGAATGGATGTCAGTACTGGGATCGGCGCATCGTAGATTTTCCCACTGTACTTGTCCTTCTGTATGCCACCTCTTTTGTCCGAGTGCGGCAGGACAACCAGCTGCAAGTAGTACACCAGCCTTGAGCTGCAAGGTAACTTGTGTTCCATCACTCAAGGACCTCATCGCCGAAAGAAGATGTGGCTCCAGCTTCTGCTCGTTTTGCTCACCTTGCTCACCTTGTCTTCGCACAAGAACTCAGACTCGGTGTTGCTGTCCTTGCTGACAGTTCGTCGCACAGTGATGAGCAGGCTTCGTCCATCTCAAGGTCTTGCTCCAGTTTCCGACAGGGACACATGTCCGACAGAGTGCCGTTAGTGCATCAAAAATACCATTCCACGAACTGTCCACGAACAGCCTTGGGTTCTACGAAGGTCAACCGCCTTCCACGACGTTAGTATATATAGCAAAACCCTTTCTGTGCACTACCCTTCCGTTTGCCTTTGAAGAATATAGATGGGTCAGTTTGGTGCCATTGACCTATAAAACACCAACTAGGCCTCCTCTCAGGCTATGGGTTATACCATTCTGATATCTGCCATAAGACCAGGGTGGGATATCCCAGAGACCAACGTATCGACCGATCTCCTGCCACATCCCACAGCTGTCTCCTATCCTGCCTCTCACTTTCGCTCGCGGCCTTTCCTGGTGAGGCTGCGCTTGTGGACGTGGCCAAATGCTGGAAGCTGTGCAACCCTGATGATGATGTGGAGGACTGGTTGGTG